TAACAGAGTAAGCTGAGAGTTAAAAAAAAAAAAAAAAAACCTAAACAAAGACATATTTTGTGGATAGTCGCCATCATCTTATAGCAATAAGATGTAGGCTATACATAACGGCCAAATGTGGAAGTCAGACCAATTTCAGATGTTCAGTAACTTACAAGACTACGTGCACAAAATGTGAAATAACAATTTCAAAGAAGACAGTACTCAAAAAATGAGATAGTAAAATAGGATAATTATCTACCTTTTCTTAGCAATGAAGCATATTAGAATCTTGAACATGTTATTCCAGAGTAATCTCTCCATGACAGAATTATCATGGACATTCTACTAAATATCTAAAACTCTTTCAAGATGCACCCTTCCAGCTTGACCCAGTGCAAATCTCACGTCTTCTGAGAGGCATTCCCCAAATTCTCCAGTACTCTTTGTTCAAGTCCCATTCAGAACCCCTGAATTTGTCTATACTAGGGGTGTATCTGTTTGTGTCAGAGAAATTCAGGGGCCAGTAGAACACTATACTCTTGAATCCTCAGCCATATCACAGTGCCATACATATAATTTGGTACCCAATAAATATTTTATGATTCAAAAAATGTGTAAATATGAAAGATAACTTTCAAAAGTGTTTGTGTATATGAAGTTAGCAATGACCAAGAAGGAATGACACAAATTTATTACTAGATTTATAACAAAAAATTACTGAAGGGTTTACAGACAGGTTGACGGATCCAACATTACTATGAAAATTTACTAAGACAATGAATCTTTTCAGTTTTTCTTTTTATCTTCACAGTGCATTGTTTTTCTACCTGCTGTCTTATTTTTAGAATAATTTAGAAAAAGAAAATGAAGGCTCTTTTTCCTGATTTTGGCATGAATCCCCCTTGTTTCAAATGAAGATGGCATCATGAGGCAGCTGAAAGAGGAGAGCTTAGGTAATGCACAATGTGTTGGCTGCCTGTCCACGTCCGTCATGCACTGATGTGGTAGGCAAGCAATCTTTTTGTTAAAATCATGTTTGTGACCATAATCATTTGAATGAATTCTTTTACAGAAATTAAAATCCCAGAAAGAAAAAAAATTCATTATACACCTATTAAGAATGGAAAAAAAAAAAAAACCTGGCAGTACCAAGTGCTGACAAGAATGTGGAACAACTCTAACTCTCCTCTATTGTTTATGGGAATGCAAAAAATGGGACTGCACTTTTGATTTGGCTCTCAGCTTAGGGGTGCTGTTAATGTACAGGGATGCTACTGATTTTTGTACATTGGTTTTGTATCGCAAAACTTAGCTGAAATTGCCTATCATCTCAAGGAGCTTTTGGGCAGAGACTATGGGGTTTTCTCAATGTAGAATCATGTCATCTGCATACAGGATTAGTTTGACTTTCTCTCCTCCTATTTGGATACCTTTTCTTTCTTTCTCTTGCCTGCTCTGACCAGGACCTCCAATACTATGTTGAATAGGAGTGGTAAGAGAGGGCCTCCTTCCTTGTCTTGTGCCGGTTTTCAAGGGGAATGCTTCCAGCTTTTAACCATTCAGTATGATATTGGCTGTGGGTTTGTCATAGACGTCTCCTTATTTTAAAGTATGTTCCTTCAATACCTAGTTTATTGAGAGTTTCAACACAAAAGGGTGTTGAATTTTATGGAAAGCTTTTTCTACATCTATTGAGATAATCATGTGCTTTTTGTCTTTAGTTCTGTTTGCGTAATGAATCGTATTTATTGATGTGCATATGTTAAAGCAACCTTGAATTGCAGGGAAAAAGCCTACTTGATCATGGTGGGTTAGCTTTTTGATGTTCTGCTGGAGTTGGTTTGCTAGTATTTTGTTGAAGATTTTTGCATCTGTGTTCATCAAGGATATAGAACTGAAGTTTTCTTTTTTGTTGTGTCTCTGCCAGGTTTGGGTATCAGGATGATGCTGCCTCTTAGGAAGAGCTGGGAATGAGTCCCTCCTTCTATTTTGTTTTATTTTATTTTATTGAGTAGCTTCAGTATTTTCCTGCATGTTTTTCAAGTAAAGAAAGTAACAGCCAGAGAAAGAAATGACAATGAACAGTCAGCTTTGGTAAGCTGACTATGGAAATTAGCGACCACAGAGGCTAGGATTAACATTAGGGTTTTTTTTGGTGATATAACAAGTAGAGTCCAGAAAACTGCCGCCATATGTTTACTTGAACCCAAAAATTCAGCAGCAAATTTTCAGAACAGAATTTGTAATCTTGAAGTTCTGCTTTGTTTAACTCTAGGCCATAAAATCTTTAATGGAAATGTTTGCTTTAAAAATTGGCTGATTATGCATACATGATCGATTTTTATAATTTTCTAATGTTGGTTTAAGTTTATAAACTATATTATAAATGCTTGGCTGGATCCCATGAGAAAATCCCAAACAGTAGTTGTCAGCCTCTTTAGACTCTGAGCCCTTTCTTCAAACAAAACCTCCCAGTGCATCACATGGATAAAAGAGTTCAGAAGGCCAGGCATGGTGGCTCACACCTGTAACCCAGCACTTTGGGAGGCTGAGGTGGGCAGATCATCTGAGGTCAGGAGTTCGAGACCAGCCTGGCCAACATGACAACATCCCATCTTTACTCAAAATACAAAAATGAGGCGGGCATGGTGGTACACACCTGTAATCCCAGCTACTCTGGAGGCTGAGGCGGGAGAATCACTTGAGCCCTGGAGGTGGAGGTTGCAGTGAGCCAAGATTGCACTATTGCACTCCAGCCTGGGAGACAGAGTGAGATTCCATAAAGAAAAAAAAAAAAACAGCTCAGAAGTGCTCATCTACCTAGTGTGGGAGGTAGCTGCACCCAGCAGTGTGTGGGGCTTCCACATGCACACTGCTAATGCCACCACTCCCAAATGTCAGTTCGAATTGTAGTTTATGGATTGAACCACATGGCATAACCACACATTTAATTTGGTTCTTGTTAACGGAGCTTTCAACTGATAATGTCTTTGAAAGTAGAAGTCTATTGCCTGGCAGGTAAGATTCAGGTCAGGGTAACATATCTCTATCCTAGAAATTCACCTGTCACAACGTAAAATGTCCCTTATTGCTTTGTTTCATCCTTTGGACTGTCCTGCTTTCCTTTTTTAAATAATGCTTTCTATTTGGGGAAGAGCGGAAAGATCAAAGCTCAGCTGGTTGATTTCAGATGCTTTTAAGACAGTCAGAAGGGGACGACAGGTAGGCAATCAGATACATGGGTATGAAGCTCAGAACAGACTATTTACAGGTAAAAACGGATTCTTCCATGGGGATGGCAACTATCAAACAGAAAATACCAAGTGTTAGGGAGGATGTGGAGAAATTGGAATTCTTGTGCACTGTTAGAATATAAAACTGAATAGCTACCATGGGAAACAGTATGGCAGTTCTCAAAAAATTAACAATAGAATTCCCATATGATCGATCAATTCTGCTTTTGGCTATATACTGAAAGAATTGAAAACAGGGAATCAAAGAGATATTTGCACACCCATGTTCATAGCATTATTTACAATGGCTAAAATATGGAAGCAACCCAAGAATCCATCAGTGGATAAGTGGATGAGCAAAATATGGTTTGTACACACAGTAGAATATTATTCAACCTTAAAAAAACAGAAATGTCATAATATGCTATAACATGAATGATCCTAGAGGACATTATGCTAAGTGAAATAAGCCAGCCACAAAAAGATAATATGATATGATTCCACTTACATGAGGTACTTAAAATAATCAAATTCATAGAGACAGAAATGCTATAAGATTTGACCTTATCGCCATATACATATATTTCAAATTGTACCCCAAAATGTGTACAAGTACAATGCCTCAATTACATATTAAAACTTTAAAACAAGAAGGTAGAATGGTGGTTTCCAGGGGGTTGGGTGGAGGGGAGAAGGGGGAGTTAATTGTTTAATGGGTACAGTGTTTAATTGTGCAAGATGAAAGCAGTTCTGGAGATGGTTGGTGGTGATGGTCACACAACATCATGAATATACTTAATAGCATGGATCTGTACTCTTCTAAGTGGTTAAGATGGTAAAATGTATATGACATTTTACTACAATTTTTAAAATTTGGAAAAAAACGGATGAGCCTCCACACTGAAATAGTAAATGGAAGCCAATTCATAGCATGAACGCAGGAAAGGGCCTAAGACCGAACTTGAGGGAGCCAGTAGTGAAGGGCTGGGTAGGGAGGACGAGCCTGTTAGGAGATGGAGAATGTGGTTCTGGAGGTGGGAGGAGCGCAGACAAGCACAGCATCATGGAAACCAAAGGAGGATAGTGTTTCAAGGAGGAAAGGGTCCAGTGCCAAATGCCCCTGAGAATGCAAAGGGCATGAAGTTGGAAATGCCCACAAGTTTTAACAGCACAGCGGTCATTGGTGCCCTCCAGAATCATGTCTGCCACCCAATCTGGTAACCCTTCATGACTGTAAACTGCTTGAGAGCAGGCACCTTGAACAGACCTCTACATCCTCCTGTTTTGCTTTTCACTTGAGAAGTGCTCAGTAAATATTTACTACTTAGTGAACTCAGATGATGGTATTTATGGTATTTTCGGGCAGGTGATGGAACTATACTATATTCTGATTGTGTTGATGATTACACAAATCTATATATGTGTTAAAACTCATAGACCTGTATACCTCAAAACAATTAATTTTATTGTAACTTAATTTAAATTTTTTTAAAAATAGTAATAGATTCTTTTTCTTACATGGTGATGGGCTCTTGAGTGTTTATTATAAAATGACTCTTGAAATTTTATATGTGTTTTCTAAACAGCTCTTTGTATTTATACAAGATTTAATAATATTGAATATTGAATTAAAAGATGTGAAGTTTTAAATACAGTATTTAGGAGAAATACAGAAAAGGTGGTAGGCAATATATGGAAATACATGTGTGATTTAAGTCAATAGCAAGAGGAATGAAAAAGCAAGCAATAAAAAAATATGCATTGTCTCTTTTTTTCTTTTAACAGGCAGGAATGGGCCACTTACGTGTAACAAAAGATGGACTGCGCTTGGAAGGGGAATCAGAATTTTTATTCCCATTGTATGCCAAAGAAATACACTCCAGAGTGGTAAGAAAATGTTGAAAGACAAATAATTTGTGCTTTATGAAAAATAAATCATGTTTAAGCACAAAAATTCAATATAGTTTAGAGAAGATTTTTAAAGCGCATACATGTGCACATATTCATGATATGCTCTTTATAAAAAGCTTGACTATTAGGTTGTAGAATTTATCTCTGATATTACCTTCTAAAAATATTTCATTTTAATGTGCTTCAGATCTGAATTCAGTGGCCTCAGTAGTTTAGACCACAATAAGCTAAAGGTTTTAGAAATGAAAATTTTTACCAAGAACAATTTAAACTTCCTTATATTAGATCAACTAACTTAAATATATTTATCTTAGGGTATTCAAAATTATCTAAGAAGCTTAGAAAGAAATTTGTTTCGGCCAGGTGCGATGGCTCACGCCTGTAATCCCAACACTTTGGGAGGCCGAGGTGGGCGGATCATCTGAGGTCGCGCCAGCTTGACCAACATGGAGAAACCCTGTCTCTACTAAAAATACAAAATTAGCCAGGTGTGGTGGCGCATGCCTTTAATCCCAGCTACTCGGGAGGCTGAGGTAGGAGAATCGCTTGAACCCGAGAAGCGGAGGTTGTGGTGAGCCCAGCTAGCACCATTGCAGTCCAGCCTGGGCAACAAGAGCGAAACTCTGTCACAAAAAAAAAAAAAAAAAAAATCGTTTCATTGTATTATGTTCTGCATTTATTATACTAATTATAGATTATGATCCTGTAAGATTCTAAACAAGTAGATTCAGCATTGTCATTAAATAATTATGTGACTTTAAAAGTAAATCAAGGTTTTCTTCATTTACCTCCATGGAGCTTATAAGAAGGACAGCCAAGAATAAAGTGCAAATACGTTCAAACAGTGTTTGCAATATGTTCTATTTCTACTTAAGTAATGCTATGACCATTATAGTAGGCATGAACATTTTGCCAGATTATTGATAAATGGCTTTACCTCTCCGACCCACAAAAAGTGAAAACTTCACCCAGCTATAACTTTCTGGTTATTCGAAAAGCAGAGTCTTCATTTTCCTTTCATATTTCTGAATATGAAAGGGTATTTCAGTATCTCCTAACTGCGGAGGCTGTACCAGCTACTACAGGAGAATTAGAAAGGAAACAAAAGACTTACTAAGAAACATGAGGTCTTGTTAGAGAGATAAAACACACTCCTGAACCAGACATTCGCCAGGCTCTATTACCAATTGCAAAATGCATGGCATATGACTAACACATAAATATCACAAAGACAGATCCCAGTGAGCGAAAAGTACATAAGTAGTTTTAGGTGCTGTTATGTTACTTCTGGGGCTATCTTATTGGCAGTGGGAGCCAGATGATGACCTGCAGTATAATAGGCAGGTAAGAGCCTGATTCTGTGAGGCTTACCCTTACCTTATGTCATATACTTACCTTAATTGTGATGGCATTTCAGTGTGTGAAACAATCCTGTCCTACAGGATTTCCCTTTTGTAAAAAGGGAAGTCAGACATGAATGAAGCATTCGAGTGTTAGAACTTGGCCTTCTTTTTTCCCCGGAGTTGCGTTGGCTGATCTTCTGCCATATTTTGGGAAGAATCAGACTGGTAGAACAGTGCAGTGACTGAAATCAGGTGACTAGATCATAGCAAATTTAATATTCTGGAATTAATAATAACTCTCAGTTATATTTTATCAGGCCATTTCATCTCCAGTATGCTTTTAAAAACAGAAAGCAAAATTATAGAGAATATCTCAGATAATCACATATTAAAGTCTTAGAATGTCGCATTAATGAGTATGTCAATCAATACATAAAATTCAGTAACAATTTGAATAATATTATGCGATAACAGAGCTGTACAGTGTTTTATAACTAATATGGTTCTCCAATAAGAGCCATCCCAGAACAAAACTATGCTTCCTAACTTCTGTATGGATTGATATATTAGTTATAAATTTCCTTTTGAAAGATGAGTCTAGGAAGCAATTTTCCATAAAATTAGAGAAAAGAAATTACTTTATGAATTTGCAAAATTTGACACATAACTCATTTATATGTACTGATGGGCTGAGATAATTTCTTCATTATAAATATAATTCAACATGCTACTCTGGCCTCTAACATCTTGTTACCCAGTAGTCCCTCAAAAGTAATACATGAGGGCCTGTATTGAGTTCATACTTTGAATTCATGGCTTAAACCCATCCACCATGCCCATTAGTTCAAACACATAACAATTATTTCCTTTAAACAAAAAGGTTTTTAAAAAATACAGAGCCATGATCAAAAACTAAATGAAGCAAATACGTGGTAATAAAGCTTACTTGAAATGATCATCTGTGAAGTTCCCAGCCCTGAAAAGAAGCTTTAGCTTACAGCCAGAGCCCACAGTGTGACGGGAACCAAATGGTCACCTCGTTGGGACTCCAGGCAAGCCCATTGCATAAGACAGTGCTGAAGACAGAAAACAACTACAACTATTTGAGTAAAACAGCATATTAAAAAATAGCTACAACTATTTGAATAAAGCAGCATATCTGAGGGGAGGAGACTACAAAGATGCCCATCCAGAACTTGAATATCACTGAGGACAGAAGCCCTAAGTCACCATTGAAAGACTGGGAGGCCCTGTGGACCAAGTGAAAACAACAGGACAGACTTTAGACAGGCTGGTAAGAGCCGAAAGGTAGACGCATCCACACAGTGGAACATAAAAATTGAAATTTCATATGATGAAATCTTCGTCTAAAAAAGAAAAGCCCAAAAAACTTTACATAAAGGAAGATCAATATCCAACTAAATAAAAATAGTCAATCTGAAAATGACTAGAAAAACATACTTAAGATTCTCAAAGAGATAAAGCTATTTTTAAAGGAGTTTTCCTTAAAATAACAAGAAATTATAAAATCAGAAGAGAAATTACGGGGCAGAAATAACTAAAAATTGAAAAAAAAATACATGAAACAGTGGTTTTCAAATATCGGACAATGGACAGCTCAGGAGACAGTTATCCCTGCAAGAAGAAAAACAAAAGAGTGACTCCTCAGATTGCCTTAACTCACTGCATGAAGAGAGTTTCCAGGCTGCAATGAGGGAGGGGAGCCAATGCAGATGCAGGTGGTCTCCCTGAGTTGAAGAGACAGGGTTGGAAGGTCAAGGAGACCAAGGCAGCCGCAGTTTGCAAGGCAGAGTACTGCAGAGAGGAGCTTGCTGCACATGGATGGCACTCCGGAGATGGCAGAGACTTCACCCCATCCCACCCCCACCAAGTCCAAGTCTGTGGATAAGTATTTACCAGTGCGTGTGTGTGAGGAAGCTACCTTGAGACTAGTGAAATACCCACTCAAAGGGAGCAGAAGGAACCATGTCTGGAGGTCACACATGACCAGAGTGGGGAACAGTTCATATTCTCACCAGTCAGAGTGGAAAACTTCATAAATTATGGGCATCAGGTAGAATACAGAAGGGTGTGGCTCAGAAGTGGTACAAGATCAACACTAGGAAAAAATCCTGCTCTAGTCCATTCTAACAAAGCTTACAGGAATCCTTGAAAGCATCATGCTTTTTCCAAGTGATTTGTTCCATCCCAGAACAAAGTTCTAAAAAACTACATTTCATCTGTGTACAAAAGTCGAGGAAAGCATAATCATGTTAAGGAGAGGCATAAAATATAGAAAGACAGAAAAAACACAAACAAATCTTCTAGAGATGAAAAGTATAACATCTGAAATTTTAAAAAAGCCAATGGTGGGACTAACAGATTACTAACAGACTGGACATCACAGAAGAAAAGATTAGTAAAGTTGAAGGTATAGCTATAGATATTCTCCAAAATGGAGCCCAGAGAAAAATGACTAGAAAAAGAAAGCAACAGAGTATCAGTAACTACAGGGACAATACCAAGGGGCCTTATGTATATGTGACTGGCATCTCCAAAGAAGAAGAAAGAAGAGAGGACAAATATTATTTAAAAAGAATAATTTGTAATTTTTTTTCCAAGCATGATAAAAACTTTAAGTCCACAGATAAAATATGTTCAGTGAACCCCAAACAAAAGAAACAAGGAAGACTACAAGGTACATTGTAATTAAATTGCTTAAAAACAACAGAGAAAAATCTTAAAGAGAAAATCGTAGAAGTAGCTAGAAATAAAAAGATATATAACGTACAAAGGAGTGAAAAAAATATGACATCAGCCTTCTAGTCAGTAACATTTCGTGCCAGAAGACACTGAAGTGCTGACTTTAAAGTACTAAAAGAAAAAAAGGCCAACCTAGAACTCTATACCTAGCAAAAGTATCTTTAAAAGACAAAGTCAAAATAAAGACTTTTTTGGACTTAACTAAAGCTGAAAACAAGTTACTTCAGCAGATCTGCACCACAAGAAATATTAGAAGAAGGCTTTCTGGCAAAGAGAATATGTTGCTAGAAGAAAAATCTAGATGTTCACCAGAAACATTTTTAAATACCAGAAATCGTAAATATATGGGTATAAAAAATAATTTTAAAAAATGTAAGACACTTTGCTCAAAGCCAAAAGAATAACAATGTATTTGGGATGTTGTAACAGGATAGAAATAAAGTGTATGAGAATAATGAAACAAATACCATAACAGGAATAGGTAGAAGTATTGCTAGAGGTAGAAGTTCTCACATTACACATGAAGTGGCAAAAAATTATTGAGGATGGACCACAATAAGTTAAAGATGCTTAGTATATCTAAAGTAAACTCATAAAAAGTGTAGCTAATACATTAACTAAGGAGATAAAAATGAAATGATAAATACTCAGTTAATTCAAAAGGAGGTAAAGGAAACAAAGAGAAAATTAGTTGAATATGAAAACAAATAGCAATTTGGTATATTTGAACCAACTCATATAAATAATCACATTAAAATAATCACATTAAATATAAATGGTCAAAACATCCCAACTGAAAGACAGAGTGTGAAATTGAACACAGAAGCAAGATCCAACTATATGCCGTCTACAAGAAACCTACCTTAATTATAAAAACACAAATATATTAAAAGTAAAAGGTTATACTATACTGTACTATACTATGCTATACTATACTAACACTAATGAAAAGAAAATTGGAGTGACTATATTAAAACAGACAGAGTAGATTTCAGAACAAAGAGATAAATATTTTAGAGGTACAGTGGGTCATTTAAGATGACATAGAAGTAAATTCTTCAATATATATGTTGCTAAACACATGAATCCACTATCAGAGCATCAATATACATGAAGCAAAAACTGATAGAATGTAAGAAGAAAAACAGAAATATTCACATTTAGACTCAGGGATTTCAGCACCCCTCCAATAACTGATAGGAGAAATGGATATAGAAACAGTAAGCATATAGACTTGAGCAATGCTATCAACCAACTTGACATAATTAAATTTTCAGAGCATGCTGCTCAATAATAGCAGACAAAGAGTTCTTTTCAAGTGCACAGGGAAAACATTTATCAAGATAGATCACATTTTGAACCATAAAACATTTCCAATAAATCTAAAAACATTCAAGTCTTCCAACATGTTATCTGACCACAGTGGATTTAATAAGATAACCATAACACAAATATGTCTGAAAACTTTTTGAATAAGTGGAAATTATATAAAAATTTGCAAATAAACCATGGGTCAAAGAAGAAATCCAAAGGGAAATAGTATTTTGAACTGAATGACAGTTAAGAAAACAATAACATCAAATTTGGGGGGGATATAGCTGAAGCAGTGCTTATAGGGAAATTTATGGCATTAAATGCGTATATTAAAAAAGAAGAAAATTGGCGGGGTGCAGTGGCTCACGCCTGTAATCCCAGCACTTTCGGAGGCCGAGGTGGGCAGATCATGAGGTCAGGAGATAGAAACCATCCTGGCTAACACGGTGAAACCCCGTCTCTACTAAAAATACAAAAAATTAACCAGGCATGGTGGTGGGTAGCTGTAGTCCCAGCTGCTCGGGAGGCTGAGGCAGGAGAATGGCATGAACCCAGGAGTCAGAGCTTGCAATGAGCCAAGATCACACCACTGCACTCAAGTCTGGGCAACAGAGTGAGACTCTGTCTCAGAAAAAAAAAAAGAAAAAAAAAGAAGAAAATCAGTGACCTCAGTTTCATCTTTAAGAAACTAGAAAAAGAATACATTAAACCAAAAATCAAAGACAGAAGATCCAAACAAATAAAATCATAAATGAAAAAGGAGACATCATAATGGATACCACAGAAATACAAAACGTCATTAGAGGCTACCATGAACAAGTATATGTCAATAAATTTGAAAGCCTAGGGAAAATGGATAAATACCTGGATACATACAACCTTCCAATATTGAAACAAGAAGAAACAGGAAATCTAAACAGACCAATATTGAGTAACAATATTGAATTAGTAATAAAAAGTCTCCCAACAAAGGAAAGTCCAGGACCAGAGGGCTTCACTGCTGAATTCTACCAAACCTTTAAAGAGGAATTAATACCAGTCCTTCTCAAACTTTTTCAAAAACTTGAAGCAGAGGAAATTCTTTGTAACTCATTACACGAGGCCAGCATAGCCATGATACCAAAACCAAACAAGAACACAACAAAAAAGAAAACTACAGACCAATATTTCTGATGAATATAAATGTAAAACTCCTCAACAAAATATTAGCAAACCAAATAAATACAACACATTTATCCCAAGAATGCCAGGATGATTCAACATATGCAAAACAATAAACACCATACATCACATCAATAGAGTGAAGGACAAAAACCATTTGGTCCTCTCGATAGATGCAGAAAAAGCATTTGATAAAATTCAGCATCCCTTCATGATAAACCAAAAGTCAGAGAAGAAAAGAAAGACGAGAGAAGAAATCAACAAAACAGAAAACATAAAACAATAGAGGAAATTAATGAAACCCAAAACGGATTCCTTTAGAAGATCAATAAAAATTGATAAACCTTGAACCAGACTGAATATTTTAAAAAGAGAGGGCACAAATAGAAGGGGCACCACTATGAATCCCACAGACATTCAAAGAATGGGAAGGAAATATTACGAATAACTTTATGCCAATAAATGTAATTTTCCCATGTACTATTTGATAGAATTCTTAACATAGGGTTGCTGCTTTAATGATTAAATTAGTTTCTGCCATTCCCATATTAGGTTCAAGTTTGAAGTAGTTAATTATATATGTAAATGAAATGGTGAATTATACTTGCCCTCTAATCTACATTTTTAAAAAGTATCTTAAAACATCAACCTCATGGGGTATTGATAACTCCTATAGCAGTTTTGATTTATCTTTAGGTCATACCAGTTACCCCTTATATTGTTAATGGTCTTTTTATACACCTCTTTCATAGCTCCTTCTATGTGTCACGCACTGTTGAGAAAGGTAATAAAAAGTTCTATGTTCTATGACTCTTTCACTACTCCCTAAGGTGTAGTGTTGACACAACATCTGTATTCAAACAGGTACATTCAGAGGTCAACTGATATGAATAGAAAAGTAAAATGTTCTCCTTATACCTTGCTGTCATTCTCTAAATGGCGTAAAGTTTTTCTTAAAGGCGTCATTAGCTAATGATAAAAACCAAAAATCCCTTATGTAAAATTTTAGAAATGATAGTAGTGGTGGTTGTACAATACTGTGAATGTACCTAATGTCAATCTACGATACACTTAAAAATGGTTAAAATGGTAAATTTTATGCTATGTATAACATGCATAGCATATATATTTTTAATACAATAAAAATTGTTTTAAAAAGTCAAAAAACAAAAACCTGAAAATTGCATTCACAATCTATAGACTTCAGTTTTCTTACCTAGAAATGGAAATAAAGTCTCTGGACTTCACAATGAACATCAGTTTTATTAAAAATGTACGTGTTGATTGTTTTAAGGTACTTCTTAAAAATGTAGATTAAAGAGCAAGTACAATTCAATATTAGAGATTGCATTATTGTAGCAGTTATGAATACAGTTTTGTTGGTAATATAGACACAGAGCCACTTCTGCTCTGTCACTGCATCAGTTAAAAGATCTTTACCCTGTGAACACAGAATGCCCAGTTAGCCATGGAATAAACTAATAGGCGCTTTTAGTCTCACATAACAGGAAGCTGGAGGGGCAGCTGCAGCTTCGGTTCAGCACTGAACCATGTTAGGGCCAGAGTATCTGCCAGCCACCGGCCTGCCCCTCATAATCACTAGACAGTTGTGAGGCCACGTCCAAGACACATAGCCAGGAAATGTGCAGTGCTGGTGCATGTGCCTCTTCCACAAGGAATGCAAAAGCTTGCCTAGAAACAAATATATTAAAAGTAAAAGGTTATACTATACTGTACTATAGTATGCTATACTGGATATACAAAATTTGACTCAGGAAAATTGATCTTGGTAGAAATGTGGTCATCAAAGAAAACTCAGATTTTCAAAAGCCACTATGGACAGCGTTCATCTAGACAAAAATTAGTGAACCAAATGTTTTTAGTAAATTTTATTGTAGAAAAAAATCTATTGAAAATGTATCTTAGTAGGAAAATATGGTAATACTTTACCTGCGTGGAAAAGTTGTTCAAGGAATTAAAGTAGCTTGTAGTGGGGAAAAAAGTAAGAAGTAAAAATTTAAAACACACACACACACACACACACACACACACACACACAAAAAGAGGGAGTGAAATAGCCCATAATGCTACTCACCAAGAGACAATCGCTAACATTTGGAGTAGCTCTTTGGCAGTTTTCTCTAATATTTCCGTAGTTATTGGCCAATTCCAGCATTGTACTTAAGTCAGTTCTGCTAATTAATACTATTCCCTTCATAGTTAGCATAGCTATACATTTTACTTCCTCTGAATTTTTGATTTAAATACATTGTTTTCTCTATTTTTTGTTTAAGTTTAATTCTGTTTGTTTTAAATAACCAACTCAGACTGCATGTGCTTTTTCAAAACTATTGTTTACTGAAACATAAAACTGTGCTTTGAAATTTATTTTTCTTTCTATTCTCTGATGTCTGTTTTATTGTGTATTTTCTAACGTCCTAAGTTAAATGCTTAGTTTATTTTTAACTTGGCGAGCAAGAACAAAGCGGTCAATACCACAAATGTGTCTGTAATTATAACTCTGCTGTATACATCGATTTTTTTATTTTGATAAAGTTTACTTTACACACTATAAAAATACAAATGTATTACAAAACTATGGAAATCGAGTGTAGCAGGAAAAAGTATATGTCATTTCTATTAGCTAGAACCCCACCGTTGTTGGTGTCTTTCCTTGACATAGTTGTGACCATATAGCTCTGTTAAATTGCATATTTCTCTAAATAATTCATATTTTTTCTATCCCTATCTTGCATTTGGGGCTCATTTTATGATTGTTATTCTTTTATCTTTCAATAAGTACTCAAAATGTTAAAAAATATATATATATGATTCAGGACTTTTTAATTGTCTTAGTCACAAATTTATAGAATTTCCAGGATCTGTGACAATGAGTAAATAATTTTACATAAATCCTAAATTGACATAGAATTATAAAGATGTAATCATTTTAAACAGTACGTATTTTGCAAATTTTATAAATCCCTTTCTAGGACTCATCTCTGCTTCTACAATCAACCCAGAATGTGACTGTAAATGCGCGCAACTCAGAAGGGGAGGTCACAGGCAGGTTGAAAGTCGGTGAGTCCAGCTTCATCATGGTGTTTTGCATGCATGTGGTCCATGAATAGTGCTAAATGGATGCATTGTTTTTTCTTCTAAAGAAATCAAAACTACTTATGAACAAAGTATGAATTTTCTAAATATCGTGCTGTGTTGACCACAGAATAGCACCACAGAGTGGGGTGGGGGGTGAGGGGACAGCCTGAAGTGCTTTGATTAGAGTTATTTTTGTTCCAAGAAACAGAGGACAATTAAAGCTAGTACAAGAAACAAATGTTTATTGTAGGTTACCAAAGACTCTTGCAGCAACCAAAGGAAAGGAACCCAAGTAGCTGGCCTCAAAGAGCACAGAGACCCATGGCTGAGAGCCAAGAATAGATTCAGTTCCCTCCCTGTTCTTTCTTCTCTTCTCTCTGCTTCTCCCCATGTGTTCCATTCTCCTCCTTTCCAGTTTATCTTTGCCACCATTTTCACTTGGCTGTATCACTTCTCACTATACAGAACCTACAGGGCCTCCCTGATTCTTATCTACTCGGCTGTAGTTATCAACATCACACAGTTTAGTCTTCGATTATGTAAATTCTAAGTCTACAAAGTACTCTAATTAGCCCAGTTCATCTGTCCCACCACATTCCATTGGGTCAGTCAGCTACGTCCACCCATCCAATCAACTAAGACGGGAGAATAAGGTCACACGGGAGCGAGGTCACATGGAATCCTATAAATGGAGAAGATCAGCAAGAAGAAACATAGATGAAAGCAATATCAGAAGAGCAAACCAACTGGTAAGAAGGTGGTAAGAAGGAATGCAGGCCAGGCCTGGTGGCTCATGCCTGTAATCCCAGCACTTTGGGAGGCCAAGACGGAAGGATTGCTTGAGCCTAGGTGATCGAGATCAGCCTGGGCAACATCTCTAAAAAAATAATTTTAAAAATTAGCCAGGTGTGGTGGTGAATGTCTGTAGTCACAGCTACTGGGGAGGCTGAGGCAGGGAGGATCACTAGGAATTCGATTCTGTGGTGGAGGAGAACCTTTGTCTGAAAAAAAGAGAATAAGAATGAGAAAGGTATGGCCGGGTGTGGCGGCTCAAGCCTGTAATCCCAGTACTTCGGGAGGCCAAGACGGGCGGATCTACCCAAATAAGAAGGAACCAGAGAAATAATTCTGGCTGTATGAAAAAACAGGGTTTTATAAAACTTTCAAAAGCTCACATTGAGTCTCCAGCAGTGGATCCAAACCAATGAAATCTTTGAAATACCAGATAAATAATTCAAAGTGTTTATTATTAAGTTACTCAAGGAACTACAAGAAAAAAGTGAAAACTAACATGAAAACTTTTTTTATTATTATTATGCTTTAAGTTCTAGGGTACATGTGCAAAACATGCAGGTTTGTTACATATGTATACATGTGCCATGTTGGTGTGCTGCACCGATTAGTCATTTACATTAGGTATATCTCCTAATGCTATCCCTCGCCCATCCCCCCACCCCACAACAGGCCCTGGTGTGTGATGTTCCCCTTCCTGTGTCCAAGTGTTCTCATTGTTCAATTCCCACCTAGGAGTGACAACATGCAGTGTTTGGTTTTCTGTCCTTGCGATAGTTTGCTCAGAATGATGGTTTCTAGCTTCATCCATGTCCCTACAAAGGACATGAACTCATCCTTTTTTATGACTGCATAGTATTCCATGGTGTATATGTGCCATATTTTCCCGCACCTCCAAAGTGCTGGGATTTACAGGCATGAGCCCACACAACGAGCCTGTTTTGTGTGGAATTTTATAGCCTGAAGCACTCCTTAGAGTTTGGGATGACCCGTTTGGGAAACTGATACTATACGTACCCAACAAAAACAAACACACAAAACCAGAAGTCCATCCTTTCCAATTTTAACATGAAAATTTTTAAACTCCATATGCCATATTCTCATTGGCTATTTAAGTATTCAAGGACATATATATGTAATAATGTTACCATTGATCACACCCCTCAATTGGAAATTAGATTTATTTTCAATTCAGTTAATGCCACAATCATAATTCAGGCACCCTTTACATTAAATAGGGTATAACAATAAATATTCTGTTACAATAAACACGAAGCGAGCGCGATGAAATAAAAGATCCGGTAGGGCATGGGAGGGGCGAGAAACCAGTTGCAGGCCTAGATAGTGTTCTAATGTTGATATAGCTAATATATTCTAATGTATATAATAGTATAATAGATATATTATAATATTATATAAATATTAATATATTAATTTGCATATACTGCACTGCATACTATATACTGAGCCCGTCCGAAACAATGCGGAGGTCTACCTTTACAATGATCGATTATTATACACGGTTTTCCAGATGGCAGAAGATTGGTTAAAAGGATCCATATGGCTCGCCGCAGTGCTCAGCCGTAATTCTCCAGCACTGTCGGAGGCCAGGGCGCGGATCATATTGAGCGCCAGGAGTCAAGACAGCCTGGCAACATAGCAAAATCCCATCCTACCTGAAAAACAAAAGTCAACCAAGAGAA